GAAAGCTAGGAATTTTGAACAGCTCTTCATTTGTTTGACATCTGAATGTTATTTGCAACTTTTTGAGAAAGCGCCACACCACCTTCCACAGTGGTTGCACCATTTTACACTCCCACCAACAGTGAGTAAGGGTTCCAGTTTCTCCACAACCTCACCAGCATTTGTTGCTTGCTGTTCTGTTAAATTTTGCTATTCTGACTGGGGTGAGATGTTATCTCATAGTTGTTTTAACTTGCATCTCTCTTAGAGCAAGGGATTTTGAACATTTCTTCATGCGCTTGTTAGCCATCTGAATGTCTTCTTTGGTGAAGTGTCTGTTCATATCCTGCACCCATTTTTCTGTTGGATTATTTACCATTATCTTGTTGTGGTGGGAATCTTAATTCTTACAACACTGATTGTTAGGTGCTGTCACAGTGCCTCTGACTCATAGTGACCCTGTGAACAACAAAACGAAACCTTGCTCCATCCTTACGATTTCTGTCATGTTCAAGCCCAGTGTGCGATCAGTGAGTCAACCCATCTCACTGAGGGTCTTCGTTTATTACCCTTCCCAACATGCCTCTCTCTTGAATGTGTTACCCTAAAAAAAGGTATGCCTATTTCCCTAATGAGTAACAGTAACTACACAATTAACATTTCAGTTTAATTCTATTTATATTCTACCAAGAGGAATACTAAACAAAAGAATGGCTTAAGAACAACATTTGTTGTATTTTTCACTTTATTTTACACTTTCAAAAGGGACACAATGAACAAAGAGAAAGATGTGTAACCAATTACCCAACTCTAGGGCCCAAGGACAAAACCTGACTTCGCTGACTAGTGAGTGATCCCTCCACAGTTCTGGGAAGTTTCCATGCGTAGGGAAGGCTCATGAAGCTGTTATGCCCCTGACCACTAAGAAAAGAAATCTATGGCAAATCTTATCACAGTACTCTAGCTAACATTTCTGCTTAAAACTACAAAGGGTTTCAACTTAACATCTCTATTTTAGAATTGTAATCATTTAGCAACAAATCATCTCAGAAAGCTTATCATAGAAATGAAAGAACTACTAATCAGATGTCCAAAGTCATGCTGCAGCTCTGGGTCCTGCAGCCCCAGCCTCTGTTGGCCTAGGCAGACACGTATGGGGGTGGAGGCTCCTTCACAACGCCATTCACAGTGGCATCATCGTATGGGGGCAGCAGCACCTTAGGGAAAAGGGGAAACAAGGATTAGTGTTGCAGTTCCTGAAGATTCAGAATTCATTGAACTTTGTAAACTGTGGAAAACTGTTGCCATAACCTGTACCAACCCTGATTTTCAACCAAAGTAGACACATGGTTGTTAAGTCTGGGCAAAGGAGGCCAAAGAGAAGAATGAAGAATTCAGAACTCAAATGCTGATGGTCTTGCCTGCTGCTCATAAGAAGAGCAAACAGCCTTGCTTGCCTGGCTGAGCTAGCAGGTGGCTTGTAAATCAGAGTGGAATGTCCCTCCCTAAAGACTCTGTTTATAAAAATCCTCCCCAGTAAGTTCACAGTGTGACTTCCCATTCTGCCTCTTCAGGATGAGGAACTCACCCAGGAGCTCCCCTTACCACCCCCTTTAATAAAGCTGCATTAAGCTTTCTCTCGTTCTCTCTGATTTCTTAAGTCCACTAACCTAACAGTGGTGACTTTTTTTAACTTAATGGGGTAAGACTTTCTCCTCTTTCTGGTTTTCTAACTTTGTCTGTATGTTAAAACCATGACACATAAATGGCCAGAGGATGACGGAGCATGACAGAGGAGGTGGTGGTTTTGGAAGTTTCCCCCCAAAGGCTTCTGGGTAAAAACATCCATGCTCAGGCGTACATGAACAAGCTGCAAACAGGGGCAAACTGACTGATTATGCAACCAATCACTGAGATCTGAGGGGCAAACCAGAGTGTGGACAAGCTCTTCCATGACTCTCGGTTCAAAACCTGACTCAATCCTGATTTATTAATGTGGCTTTGAGTAAGTTAACCATCCTTCCTTGCTTGCAAAATATCGATAGCTCAGAAGACCAGTGAAGGCAGGTTGTTGTGAGTAAACCTGAACTCATAAACCCCTGTGTGTCAGGAGAAACATGCTCTATAGCATTTGCAGTGGCTGAATCTTCAGAAGTAGCGTATCAAGCCTTCCTCCTGCGGTAGCTCAGGCTACACTTGAATTGCTAACCTGGTTAGCAGCAAAGTGTGCTAACTGCACCACCAAGGGATACTTGAAAATCAGAAGAGAGGTCTACAAAAAGGAAATAGCTTATATGTGCTATACACCTGAAATGATACAAGTAATTATCTGTAAATTACTGTAGAGGAACCAAGAAAAATAAGCACTAAATCTATAAACATTGAATAATCTTTACATTTCATGTATTAAAAATAGCTTATGTTTATTTATAATTTGTTATTAAAAGAAAACATTGGCCGGATTTGGTTTTCTTGGAACGGGAAGAACACAACAGAGAATAAGCTGTAATTCGGTCAACTAACTTTTATTACATGTCTACCACGTGCCAGGCATTGTGGCTATGAGATCATAAACAGGGCAAAAAAACTAGTTCCTGTTCTTTAGGAAATTCAGACAAGATTAATATAAAACCGTAAACATTTCAAGCACTTTATGAAGAGAAAAACAGTTACAAAGAGAATAAAACCACTGTTAGCAAGGCTCATCTCTTTCACATATTATCATTTCTTTGTTTCATGAGCTTTTAGTGAGAAGACACTCACATTTTGTCCCCAAGTTTCTGTTTTCAGCTTGAGTCACCGGTCCCTCCTACTCTAAGACAACATCATCCTCAGTTCTTTTTCTCCGCCTCTAACCTGGAGCTCCTAGAAGGCTCACACTGGCCTGCTTCTCCCCCGGGCTGGGCCTGGTGCCTTCTACACTACAGGAAAGGAGACGCTGGAGTTGGGTAAATGAAGACCCATTTAGGCCTTGAAAAACCCGAGGCCAGCAAAATGAACTGGTAGCTTTCCAGACAGGGTATCTCTGTGCTGGGAAGGAGCCAATAGGGAAGCAGAACCACAAAGCAAGTTGAGAAAAAAAAATGTTTACGATAAGGACTCACTGATGAGACTGGAGGAACAGGGAATTGTCAGAGAGAGGGGAAATCTACTGTAACTAGCAGACTCTGAAGGTCTCTAGGAAGGAATGAACACGCAGAGACTTTGCCCAGGGCTGATGCTGTACAGGGTGTGCCTGAAACCCTGAGACTTTCAGTGAGCAGGTCGGGGCTGGTGTAAGAAAAACAACTTCTGAGGGCCTGCTGCAGGGCCACGGCTAACTTGTTGCTGGAAGTGGCTGTTGCTGCTGTGGCTGTTGTTACTCTGGAAACTGTCTGAGGATAGAGTCTGGGAAGGGGTGCTGGGAAGCATGTCATGAAGAGGTACTCCCAGGACAGTGCAGGTCGCTCAGCAAGAGCACCCAGAAACCGACTCTTCCTCCAGCACCCTCCCCTGGCAAACAAGCTAACTGGCAATAGAAAACCATTAACCCAGTTGGGCTAAAAGGGGAAAAGCCTAAACGGGTAGTAATAGAGATTGGTAATGATTTATTACTATGGGTTCCAGAAAGTAATAGTGATAATGTGCCTGTGTCCTAAACACTCATACTTCAGGGATTACCTGGGGTTCAGAGCCTCGCAAATGCACTCAGGTAAGGGGGTCAAAGACTGACTCAAGGAAGCCATCTTCGCCCACGAGGAAACCATCGACTGGTCAGTCTGCACTGTTCTCAGTGATAGGACTAACCACAGAAAGCATCTCTGTCTTCCGGGAAACTCCATCACCAAGACCACCAACCTCTGTGGAGGCTTCACACTGTGGCGGCTCACGTGTTACCACAGTGGTGGAGGGCCTGCCACCAATATCTCAATCACCAAGAAGGTCACCCAGAAAAGACAGGCTTCACACCACAACAAGGTAAATAATCCAATTGAAAAACGGGCACAGGATATGAACAGACACTTCACCAAAGAAGACATTCAGATGGCTAACAAGCACATGAAGAAATGTTCAAAATCTCTAGCTCTAAGAAAGATGCAAATTAAAACAACTATGAGATATCATCTCACCCCAGTCAGAATAGCAAAATTTAACAGAACAGCAAACAACAAATGCTGGTGAGATTGTGGAGAAACTGGAACCCTTATTCACTGTTGGTGGGAGTGTAAAACGGTGCAACCACTGTGGAAGGCGGTATGGCGCTTTCTCAAATAGTTGCAAATAGAGATACCATTTGACCCAGCAATTCCACTACTGGGAATATATCCCAAAGAGACCATAACTGACATCCAAGCAGATATATGCACACTCATGTTTATCGCAGCTTTGTTCACAATAGCAAGGAGTTGGAAACAACCCAGGTGCCCATCAACAAACAAATGGATAGAGAAACTGTGGTATATTCACACAATGGAATATTATGCTGCATTGAAAAACAAGGAACTCATGCAATATTATTCAAAATGGGTGAGCCTGGAGGACATTATGCTGAGTTAAATATCTCAGCCACAAAAGGACAAATATTGCATGGTGCCACTGCTATAAAATGGGACTGATATCAGGGTTGGGGTAAGACTGAGAAAAACTGGATAGATTGTGTATACTGCACTGAAACAGATGAGGGAGTGAATAATTTAAAAGCGATATATGATAGGGTATTATGGTTATCGCAAGAGTCCACAATTAAGGTTGCATAGTGGAATGTACTTGGGGCAGTGGGAGGGGTGCAGGGGGACTGTGTACCAGGGACGGAGTGTTTCTTTTACTTTTGAAAGAGAGGAGCAAACTGGGGGAGGGGGGTGGGTGGTCTGTGCGGGGAGAGAAGTGCAGCAATGAATGAATGGAAATCCAAAATCTCTGTAAATGTTCATTAAAATTATTTTTTTTTAAAAAAAGACAGGCTTCAGAATAGTTGGGTCTTTAATATACAAAATTCCAGGGACTGAATTCCAAAATGAAAATATGTTTAGCCATCAAGAAATCAATTCAATTATAGTTTTATGCTTGCAAAGTCCAAGAAATTTGGAAAAACCCTACAGAAGTAGATAATAGTAAGATGACTTATTAAAATATTTGCAGGCTGCTTTTTCCTGTGCACAAAGAAGTTTTACACAATTCAGCCACATCCTCTAAAATATCCTAGACTGTTGATAGACCTTACCAATTTAAATTAAAAGTTATAATGTTCTGTAAGTGCTACGAAATTTGCCTTTTGTTTCTCCAAATAACCTCCCTTTCATTTGAACTGCACTAACTTATTATTTCACACTGAACAAAGAGATTTTGCATAGTTTAAATTAGAAAAGGTATGTGTCAGGGTGGCTGTAGACTTTTACCATGCCTTTTCAAGATGTAGACTAAGCAAACAATTTGAGAACCTGGACTATAAGAAGAATGTGGCATCAGGATTTCAGGAAGACTCAGTAACATCATACATTATGCAAATGACACAATGCTGCTTGTCGACAGTAAAGAGGACTTGAAGACAAAGACTGGAGCCTTCAGTATGGATTCCACCTCAACATCAAAATAATAATAATAATCTTCACAAACTAGATCAATAGGCAGCACCATGATACATGGAGAAAATACTGAAGTTTCCAAGGATTCCCTTTTACTTGGATCCAATCAATGCCAATGTAAGCGACAAATAAGAAGCCAAGTGTGCAGCAGGCAAGTCAACAATTCCCTTGCTTGAACAGGAAAACCATGATTTCTGCTGACTCATGCACAGGCCAACAGCAACTCAATGCTCAGCGCAAAAGCTGGTCTTTCCATCCAGTTCCATCCAGGTAACTCCTCTGATGCCCTAGCACAGGAAGTGCATTATTCATTTAACTTGTGATAGCTTTCCTATAGAACATTTTCCTGGAATATTCTCTTTATTCTGTTATCCCACCTAAAACCCAGACAATTTAAGTTGTTGTTGTTGTTAGGTGCCATCAAGTTGTTTGCGACTCATAGCGACCCTATGTACAACAGCCTTAAGCCCTGCTCTATCCTATGCCAATCGCATTGCTTCTGACACACCCATCCTGATTACCCCAGTCACTGAATCAATCCACCTCATAGAGGGTCTTTTCCTCCTGTGCTGTCCCTCCACCCTCCCAAGCATGATGTTCTTCTCCAAGGACCTGTCTCTCCTTACAACATGTCCAAAGTATGTCAGATGGAGCCC